AAAGGGGTCCCGAGAACAAGACCGGGAGGCGGCGCCCCTCGGTCGTGGTCCCGGTCCCGCGCACCCTCATTCCGCCTACCCGGACACCCCAGCCAGTGCAATCTCGCCCTGGATCCCCGCTGCCGCCGCCTGCGCCCACGTGGCGTGTCCCCGATCGCTCCCAGCGCCAGGTCGCGTTCCGCCAAAGCCGCCAGAGCCTCTCAAGGGGCCGCCTGACAGCTTGGCCCGGCGCGCGGGCCGACCTGACAACTGCGCATGCTCCAGACGCCGTCACAATCACAGCCACCGTTGCCTGGCTAGCGGCTCGTCTCTATGGCTACAGCCCTCTGCCGCCAGGCCAGGCGCGTCCCTGTCAGGCTTTGGCCTGCCCTCTCCCGGAGGGCAGCCAGGGGATTCTCCGCGGTTCCCAGGTGATGAGGAGGAGGGCCCAGTGGGGGGAGGAAGCCTCCATCGCAGCGTCCAGGAAGCAACGCGGGATCCATGGACAGGTCATCCTCGCCGCCTCACACCCGCCTGCCGGCTGCGCACGTGAGTCTCGCCAACAGTCCTAAGTCGTAATGCTTGTGACACAGAAGGCTGGACTGCCCTTGTGCCCGGGTGCTCCTCAGTACCCAGGGGTCCTTCCTCTCTGAGCCCCGAGCCCCGCAGTATGAGGAGCTGCCTGGGTGCCTGTGGCTTCAGAATCAGAGAGACACAGAGAAAGTGAGGGAGAGAGAGAGAGAGAGTGTACGTGGGTGGCGGGCTGCCTGAAGTCACCATTGCTGGTGGTGAGGCCCTCGGTGGGGGTCCACCGGGGATCTGGGGCCCGGTACCATTCATTTTCCGTGGGGTCCCTGCTTGGTTGTGGCATGGTCTGGTTCCGCCGTGGGGCAATTGCAGGCGCCACATGAGACCAGCAAGTGTAGGAATGACCACAGCATGGGGAACTTGGAAAAAACATCTGGGCCGGTGCCCCAGACCACCGTAACCCAGGAGAGACCACGGCCTGTCCATAGACACCCACTTTCCAGTTCTCCCCTGCCACCCAGGCGCCGGTCCGTGCCCCCAGAGTAGGACTCGGAAGAAACCACAGACAACTGGTTTCCCAGGAGGGAGGGAACGACCCCCCACACACACCGTGCCACTCACAGGGCCGTCCCTGCCTCCTGAGCAGGACCCAGGGGAAATAGGTAGGAAAGGCAAGGTCGAGGGAGAGGGACACGCATGGGAAAGTGGCCGGTCGCTGGAGAGCCTCCTCTCCAGTCCACCTGTGCCATCTAAGTTCGGTCCCCGCAGGGTGGGTCTGGTCTCCAAAGTTGCGACGGTGTGCTGGTAGACCTGAACGGGCAGCCCGGCTGGCCAGCTGAGCCCAAAAGCAAGGCGACAACCTCCTGC